CAGGGACTTTGCGAACATCTCTGGGGTCACTGGATCTCCTCCTACCTTTCACTGTCTCTCCAGGACAGCTTGGGTTCGAAATGAACTGTCCAATTCCTTCGGAATAGGGGAATTTCAGGAATAGCCTGAAAATCCATCTTCTCACTGCTAAGCCCCGCCTTCTTCCCTAATCCTGTTTTTGATGTTCTGCGCATGCACGTGCTCATATTTACGAACCGGTAGCAAAGGTAAGTGAATACCATCCCTGTGCATGAGGATGCATAAAAGGTGCTGCATGGGTGGAGAGTTAAGAGGTGGTGCAGGGGGACAACAGGATCAGGAATGCTGTGTGGGCATGTGCAGGAGATGCTACACAGACTGGGGAGCAGTGAAGGTCAGAGAGGGCACGTGGGTGTGCAAGAGGTGCATGAGTTGGGGAAGGTACATTGGGGAAGTGGCATTGACCGGGAAGGGTGTGCAGGAGTCCTTCCTCCCTGTTTCCCTTTCCCTCCCTCCCACCACACTTCCAGAAGTTTGTTAAACGGCTGCTGCTGGGTGCGGGAGGTAATAAGGGATAGTGAGAGTGTCTTGTGAGAGTGGGAAACTATCCTGGAACACTGAAAATGAGGAACACCTGACTAGCAGCCACAACTTCCCCAAATTTCATTCCTTCAAGGAGTTCTCATTCTGTGACTTTCCTTATTTATAAGATTTTGAAACCGCCCATCTCCATCACTGAGTTAGTGAGGGAGTTCATTTGAGGTACTGTGGTTCAAAAATTGTTGCCCTGTAATGCACCATTTCATCCAGGTAAAAGATACAGAAGGAAAAGTTTTAGCCGTATACAGATATTCTCATTAGACATTTTACCAACTTCCTCCTCTGAATTTATTTTTTAATTTACCTGCAGTAATTGCAACCAACCCATCTGCTCCAAGCCCTGCATAAATGTTAGAGTTACATTCACTGAGCAAGAAAGTCCTCTTAAGCCGCAGCTTATCTTCAGGTTATTCTGCATCCACTCATGCATTTCAGCAAGAAATATTTGAAGATACTAGCACAGGAAATATAAGACAATCAATCCCCCCCCCCAAACACACAGACAATTTGAAGGTAATTGCTTGGGAGGGGGATCCTTGACTTTTTAAAATAAATGTAGCATTATGGGGACGACGACCCCCAAAGCATTAGAAACAACTGAGTGGGAAGACAACAGAAATAACAAACTCACACATTGGTTGTGAATACTCCATAGATCAAATCCTGTTCAGGAAGATAAAATGTGCTTTGCAGTTCATTGTAGTAAAAAGGGATTTCTCCAGAACGGGAACAATTCAGCCGAGCCTTCATGAAAGTTGTCCATGTATCTTCCAACAAAAATCGTCCCCCAATGTCATTTTTACAAACTCTGGCCACACGAGAATAGACTGTTTTTCCACAGTCATGCTCCACCGCATTCTCACGGAAAAAGAAGTAAGTGAACAAACCAATGTCATAGGCAGCAATGAAGTTGGGCTCTGGAGAAAAATTAAACCATAAAACACAGTCAGAAATACATTAAGAAATTGGGCTTTCCGTCTGAAGTATGGACAAATGCTCGCAAGAGGCCTGAAGGAGAAAAACAAATCTTTTCCAGAACATCTAAGAAAAACAAGCTATGGTATGATTCTTAAAAGCACATCAATAATTGATTCCTCAGCATCAAGAGATAAGTTACATGTTATAAATAAGCCATCAGTATCAAAACATAGAGGCAGAACACATACAATCTCACTGTTATTTTTGGTCTTTGGTGGTTGTTTTTTCTCATGGAGTTGAGTTGTGCATTCATTTTTAAATCATTCGATTGAGGATTTATGTGCGATTGGCTATGTGGGTACAGAGAAAGAAAGCACAAGTAGTATTACTTGCTTGCCTGTTGGTTTGTAGTTAATGATGATGCACAGAAATTCCCTGGAGATATGAAGAGCTACGTGACACAGTTGGCAGCAAAGTCCACCAGAGTTCAAGGAGATTTTCAAAAGGAGAAAGGTTCCTACAGTGCAAGCCTCAGAGGGAGGCCCATTATACTGAGGGTTTCAATGTTGCTTTTGAGTCAGCGAATTGATTACATGAATAGCCATTAAACTAAATAGCCCTATTAATCACAACAAGTAAGTATTTTAAGGCATTTTGCAAGATTCTTTCAGCTAACACATACACGAGGCATACCTTCTCTCAAATGTGAATATACATTAATGGCCTGTAGCCAAGTGTACCTTCATTCCAGAGCAGGGGTGGTATTAACTTACCTTCCCCAACAGTTTACAAATGTGAGTGTGCACACATGCTTCTGCAAATGCACTTTTGGCGAAAAAAGGGCTTAAATGGGATGCCATAGAGCTGGGGGGGGGCCACCCGCGATTTCTGCTACCAGTTTGGGCAAACCGGCCTAAATTGGTATAATACCACCTCTGTTCCAGGCTATTTTATTCTTTTCCTTGCATTCAGCTACCACCAATAAATAGCAATACCTGACTTTCATCATTAACTCTATTTGCACTGATTCTCCAATATCCCAGAGATCTGTACCAATGGTATACCAAAAGTGCTTTTTAAAAGACAACTGGACTTTGTTTTTTTTTCTTGAAGAAGTTTCGCTTCTCATCCAAGAAGCTTCCTCAGCTCTTCAACCAAGAGCAAAGAAGCTTCTAGGATGAAAAGTGAAACATCTTCAAGAAAAAAAACAAAGTCCAGTTGCTTTTTAAAAAGCACTTTGGGGACAACCATGACCTGGATAACTAAGAATCTCCATAAACATTTACCAATGGTGCAGTTTTCACTAACTGCCAAAAAAAGTGGTCTCACAAGTTATTTCATTATTGAATATGCATGATTCAATACACTGGTGATGGCTGTAGGCCCACAGTAGGTCTTTTGGGGGATGATCCCACGTGTAGAAAAGATCGAATAAGTAATTATTTAATACTGGAAATGATCAGATGGTTTGATATTTTTCTTTCAAAATAGCAAAATTAAATTGTTCAAATGCAAGTCTCCATAACTCCAGGCCAAAAAACAACCAGAAAAGATAAAAGAAAGTTACATTGACCAAAGAAGTGTGAAGGATTTTTAAAACATTTCAGTCTTAAAAAGTACCCAGGGGACTTTGTTAGTTGAGTGAATACATCAACCAAAGAGTACAGCAAGCTCAGTTCCTCTCTTTCCCACTGGAATTGTTTCCAAACATTTAGAAATGTTCTTAAAAAAAAAAGAATTCCTAAAGTCAGATGAACTTGCCTGAGTCATAGCTACCATTCTGAAACCGCCATTATGAATACAGCACAATACAGCACAATCTTGAAGATTCAGTAAGGGGACTGTACTTTCACAAAATATATACAATGGCATTCTTAACAGCTGCCTATGCCTAAGGAATGGCTGTTCCCTCGAGATTTTGTTAAAATCTAACCCTGAGAGGTCCTGTAAAACTTTTGTTTGCCTGAATCAACTTTTAATGGAATAGTTAAGTAAGAATAGTTAAGGAATAAAACTTCTGAATTTGTATTTTCTAGTTGGCTGGTATATATCCATGTAAAGTGTCACAGCAATGGAAACTAGGTACCTACTTAAAATTTTTAGAAAAAAAGATTGTTAGGAATATAATCTAATGGTTGGGTTGGCAATATATAAATCATGTAACAATGCTGAACCTGTTTCTTTAAATNTTTCTTATGGTCCAACTTTCACAGCCATACATTGCAACTGGGAAAACCGTAGCCTTGACTATATGCACTTTTGTTGTCAGGGTGATGTCTCTGCTTTTTAACATGTTGTCTAGATTTGCCATAGCCTTTCTCCCCAGGAGCAAACATCTTTTAATTTCTTGGCTGCAGTCCCCATCTGGGGTGATCTTAGAGCCCAGGAAAATAAAATCTGTCAGTACCTCCATTTCTTTCCCCATCTATTTGTCAGTATCTTAGTTTTCTTAATGTTGAGCTTCAAGCCAACTTTTGTACTCTTTTTCTTCACCCTCATCAAGAGGCTCTTTAGTTCCTTCTCACTTTCTGCCATCAAAGGGGTTAGACCACACTTTTAGGAAGACTCCACCAGGATCATCAAACATCTTAAGAACTTTCTTGATCTGTACCTGAGCAGAAGATCCCTTTTTCCTCTTGCCAAAGCAAAAGCAGTTACTAAACTTGGAATAAGACTGAAGGCTTACTTTCCTCTCCCAGCCATCCTTCCATTCCATTGAGCAATGCAGCAGTTGGCTGTGAACTTGTCAAAGCACTGCATGATGAACCTTTCTTCATTCCTGCCTAAGTATTACTGACATGTTGCATGTTAACAGAAGGCTGCTCTTTAGACAATGCTAATGACAAATGACAACCTAATGCCTAAAGGCACAAGTGGAGAAGCAAAATAATAATCTAAAAAGCCAACAACCTAGTGCATGGTTAGAGGCTTGAATGGGGTTTCTAAAGCAAGCCACTGAATGTTTTGCAGCAAATCTCATAGCAGAAGTTCAAGTTTGGATGATTCAACAGTTTTATGTCTTTGGATCTGGTATATTGGGCCAAGTGACAACTCTGTCAGCATGCACAGCAGTTGTGGGCTGAAAAATGCAGAACTGGAGCTTGAACAATAAACAAAGATGCCTACTCTGAAAACAACTGATTCAGAAACAGATATTCTACTGATTCAAACATTCCAAAATTTCAAGTGAAGAAGACATACAGAAGTATAAAAGTATTGTACTGTTACAGTATATAGGTATTCCAAACCATCTTACAAGGTGGCTAAATATTATTATGATTATAATTATTGTGACTTTTTTCCCAACGATGATGATGATGATGATATTATCCATGCAGTTGTGTCTGATTCTTGACGATTCTATAGTCCAGGTCTCTCCACATCTTCTGATCTTGCATTAGTTCTTTGAGTTGTTCTATGCTCTGGACGGTGTCAGCTTTTTTTCAATACTAAACATTTATAATTTAAATAAAGTTTCTGGGGTCAAATAAATGTTTAAATCAGCTGCTATTGCCTTAGGGAATCATAAGAACTGCACATACATGGATTCCGTTCTCAGGATTCTCTACATCTTTATCCAATTACACTTCTTGAGCAAATCAGCTGAAATGTAATATCTCCATATAATTTAGTTCCCCAGCCCACAAAGAGCCTACTTTCCTAGCTATGCTAATAAGAATATGAATCGTGAAGAGCAAGGATGCAGCTGCCATATTAACCTGTATCAACATGGGCAGTACTTTGCTTCTCCAAAACAGTGCCTGAAGCCTCTAGAGACTGATGATGTTCTGAAGAAAGTCTTTATCAAAGTGACCAAGAACCCTGATTGAATACATAAAGAGTTATCCTACAAGCTGCATCTGATTTCATCAAAATTCAAATGTGAAGGAAATCAATTGTGGTTTTTATCCTAGCCCTACTATCATTCTTTGGGGAGAACAGTTCTTGGAGTTAACTTTTTAGAAATCAGCATGACTTTCAAAAAGTAAATGTGAGCCCTTGGCAAGTAACGTTGCATTCTCCAACTCTATGTAATGGCTATAAATCAACTTCAGAAACCTGAAGACTGTGGACATCAATACCCAGAATCAGAGGTGGGCTGCATATACGTTAACAACCAGTTCGCTGGAAATGTAAATGCGCATGCATGCTAGCTTCAAACACACAGCAAATCTTCTCAAGGCAGCCACAGTGAGTAGAGCAGGTGAGGCGCGGCAATCAGCTGGGCTTCATGGGTGGGGAACAAAGCCAGAGAGTGAGATAAATAGGATAGGATAGTGCTGGGGCGAGTGGGCAGACCCAGCTGGTGGTTGGAACTATTGGTTTGACTGAACTGGCAGCAGTCCACCTCTGCCCACAATCCCCCAGCCAGCATGCTGGATGTATGTTCCTTGTTCATTGTGTGCATGTTCATTGAAACAGCATGCTGGCTGAGGGATTCTAGCAGCTGAAAAACACACATCTTAAAGTTGCTGAGGTTCAAAAACACTGCTCTTAATCATTCCCCTTCAGTACAGGAACTTACTTAGAATTCTCTTCATTTATTTTATTTTATTTATTTTTCACGCAGTCCTTCTCCCTTACAAGGGAACTCTTGATGTGAAAGAGACAATTGGCTAATACAGAGGTAGGTAGGCAATACCACTGCCTCAAGTTAATTTATTTTGCTATACATTTTGCAAAATGTTATTGCAAAGAAAAGTTCTAAACATGTAGAGGAAGTCCAACAAAGACTTTTCTGATATACTATTATTGAGTTTTGTCCGCTGTATAATCATTTTTTCATATGGGTCTCTGAAGAATTGGCACATAAGATGAGAGTGACAGATTGTCGGGAAAGCAATGGATATGCAAAAAACCCACAACATTGTCCCTCTCCAGCATTTATTGGTATACTGTATTTGATCACCATTTCATTTACAAGCCAGACTGGTGGTGTATTTTCTGGCCCACCAATGATTAACAGGCCGATGAGAAAACACAACATATCCAAAAGCTTG